AAAAAAAAAAAAAAAAAGACTGAGGACCAGCAGGTGCATGGTAGTTAAGCCACTGGACACTCCCACATGGCTGGCCATGGTTTCAGTCCCAGACCTAGTGGCTTGATGTCTCACTTTCCCTCTCTCTCACCCTCTGTTTCCTGTCACGTTAAAATAAATGAATGAATAAATAAAATTAAATAAATAATTGTTTTTTTAAAAAAAAAAGAAAAGAAAACCAAGCTGGACAGGTGTGTGTGTGTACATGCTCAAAATCCCAAGAGGAGAATGGAGAAGAAGGGATTGTAGCATGGCCATCCCCTCTGGGTGGTGATTTTTCACTCTCTACCTCTCTCTGTGAAGCACATGCATCTTGTAGCAGAAAAACAAACTCTCTTTAAAAAATAAACAAATAATAAAAATATTTTAAAATCGCATCTCCTGCTCTCATGAGTGTCAGACAAAGTCAGCAGTATTTCAGTGTGAAGCCAGCTCATCTTCATGTCCACATAGATGCTATGGGTTCTCAGATGCAGAGGGAGAGGGTCTGGGGACAATCACTTGACCCTCTCTATACCTGTTTCCCCACCGACAAATATTCCTTCCACCCCCAGAATTTACAGGGTATTCAAGGAAATAAAAAGAGCTGGCCAAAAATGTGCATATCTGATAGTGAAGAGAAACAAGGCTGGAAGAGGAAGGGCGGGGAAATGAAAATGCAGCACGTCTGTGAAACAACAGGCAAGGAGGCTGCGGGCTGTTGGGCGAGAGGAAGAGGTTTGGCACAGGACACATCCGTGTACCGTGGAAGTGACTGCATCTTCAAGAGGACCAGGAGACCCCTGGCTTCAGGAAGTTATTGTTAATCTCCCAGATTCCCTTTTCACCCTGACCTGACAGCCCACCCTTCCTCGGAAGGCTAAAAACCAGAGTTCAGCTTTAGCCAGATCCGGGGAGAACTCAGGTTGAGTCAGACTGTTCTTCAGGTCCCCCTCAGCTCTGAGATTGGAGGGTAAACAGGCAGAGAAAGGGGGTGGCTTGGCAATACTCACTGGGCCAAAGTCCAAGAAGTCTGAGTGGTTCTGACCTCAGGTGTAAATAAGCAAAACACTGTTTTAATTCCATTTTTTAAATGATTTATTTTATTTTTATTTTTAGCACTATTATTATTTTTTAATCTGACTAGAGAGAGAGAGAAAGAGAAAGTGAGAAAGCTAGCCACCAGGTCAGGACTCGAACTGCAGTTAGCCACATGGAAGTCCAATTCCTCAACTACCACACCACCTGCCAGCCCCAAATAAGCAAATATTAATATTGAGGCTTAGCAGGAAACGAGCTAACTGGCTTTGGTTGTCTTTTGTTTAGTTTTGTTTAGAGTTTTGTTTTGAATGCCTTGCAATGCTTTTTTAATTAATTAAGCTTTTTAGTCTGGGATCATAGTACATTCTCATGCAGTTACAACAATAATCCTGAGAGATCCCTGTATACTTCACGTGGTTTACACCAATGGTAACATCTTGGAGCCTACAGTCCAATATCACAGCCAAGAACCTGACATTGACACATCTTATTCAGACGACCCTCGCTACACATCATTTATTTGTGTGTGTGTTTTATTTGACGAGATTTTGTCAATGTATCCACCACCACAGTGACGATACACATAATTCCATCGCAAGGATCCCTCTTAAGTTCTCTTTTTGTGACTATACCCACTGCCTTCCCTAAGTAGCCTCCCCTCCAATCCACTCCTGTCCCTGCCCTTGGCAATCACTAATCTCTTCCCTATCTCTAGAATGTTGTCATTTCAAAAATATGTTACTCATGGGGCTAGCAGGTGGCATGGTGGTTGGGGCACTGGACTTCCACGTGGCTGACAGTGGTTTGTCTCAGACCTGCAGGCTTGCTTTCTCACTTTCTCTCTCTCTTTCTCTCTCTGTGTCTCTTTTTAAAAAAAAAAAAAATTACATAAATAGAATCAACTAGCAGGTAATCTTTGGGGAATGGCTTTTTCAGTTTTATTCCTAGACATTCATCCAAGTTGCTGTATCAATAGTTCATTTCCTCCAGACCAGCAATTAGCGTAATGCCTATGTCGCTGGACTCCCACGTAGTTGACTGCAGTTCGCACCCCAGACCCAGTGGTGCGTGTGCATGAGTGCCCAAGATCCCAAGAGGAGAATGGAGGAGAAGGGATTGCAGAGTGGCCATCCCCCCAGGAGGTGATTTCTCACTTTCTGTCTCTCTGTCTCTCTGTCTTTCTGTCTCTCTCTCTTTCTCTCTCTCTCTCTGTCTGGCGAGCTCATGCATCCTACAGCAAAAACCTCTATTAAAAAAAAATAAAGCTCATTTCCTCCTGTAGCTAAACAGTATTCCATGTCAGAGATGGCCCCAATTTGCTAAGCCATTTACCCATGAGGAACATCTATGCTGGTTCCAGTCTGGGGCTATTCCATTC